CATATACATATATAATATATATAAATGTACGTATGTATAAAGTCGGCAGGCACAGCTTTTTGTATTCATTCTATGCATATTATACGTTCACGCTGCAAAGGGTCCGTGCACGGTGAGAGGGATTTTAATAATAGCCCCGGCTAATTCGGCGACGGCGGTGAACGACGGACCCTATATTGCCCATTTGTTTGCTAATCCACCAGACCGTCGTCGCCGACTACGACAGTGTCGTCGTTGTTGTACTACCGTTACACGCGTAAACCGCGTCCATACTTTCTCTTCCATAGCACTCGTCACACCCTTAATGCGTAGGGTTTATCTAGGGGTGATCGCTTTTCCATGGCCCTTGATGACCGTTGAACGGGTGTATGTGTGTGTGTGTGTGTGTGTGTGTGTGTGTGAATTTTACTTATACATACATGCACGAACGCGTATACATACATATAAATATATATTGTATATTTGTCGATAACGCACTTTTCTCGTGTGAAAAAATCACAAGTCAGTAAATACGAGTGTTGCGACCTCAAAACGAGATCAATTGAAATCCTTTATATAATGTTACAGCCGTAATCTGAATTTATAATTCATGTTGGCTCGCGCGTACTAATAATACCGATTACGAACCGTTGATCTTGGGAGAACAAACTTTTATTCTAGTCTCTCATCATTCGACGCTTTCGTGCATTTTTTTTCTATGAAAAGTCTTTAGTTCCAATGGTATTGTTTCAAATATATTATATACCTAGACCATAATTTTTGGTATAGATACCTCGGTCTGAATGTAAATTATGTGTAGCTACTACTTAGTGTTTCTCCTCCAAATCTAGTTATGTTATGTTTCGTTCTACTCATCATATACTAAGTAGTAGTATATTTTCGTAAGCATGCCTTTACTTTTAAAAACGCTCTTATGATTGTTACGTATGCGTATAGGCAGGAGTAATTTACTAATTAAGGTACAAACATGAACAGATAAGATTACATTTCGGCACCTCTTGGTGGATTTACCTTTATGGATTTACCAATAAGACATTAAATTTTATTCGATAGAATATTGTGAAAAAAATATATTTTTATTGTATGACAGTATGTGTATCATTAACAATTAGTTTATATTAAATTACACAAGTACAATATACTTGTAGTTTTTATACTAGATATACTTACATGAAACTATTATGTAGTAGTTGATTTACTATTCAAAGAATGTATGAAGAATGGATGTTTTTAATAATAATAATTATTATTATTTGAATTCATATTGTTATTTAATTTAGTTTAACCCATTCGTTGTGCAAGTTAGAATCACAAAAAAATATTAATTTATGGATACATAATATTATTATGGAATGTTATTTATTTATGGCATTTACTGGATGGTATATACATTTGCATAAAATAAGTATCTGATGTGGAAAATTTGGACCTTGATACAAGTTATATATACATGTATATACCTCAGACTTCATAAACCAAGAAGACTTCTCAAATCAAAAATATCTCTAAGATATAAATTATTTAATCAAATAACATTTCCACTATATCGTGTGTTACTCAACATAAACATCATACAAGTTTACTAATCAATAAACCTGCAGCTTCTCACTAATGATTTCTGGAATATAAGTAAGCAATCAGAAACTCAATATTCTAATGATCAAGCACCTTACATTCATTCTTATCATTATAATAAATTCAATAAAAAAAATCCTTTAATCACTCAAACTCAAATTCTCTCATTTCCAAATTTTCTTCCTGTATATTATCTGCAACCCTAAAAATTGTCTCAAATATAGGGAGCCACGTGACCTTCTAAATAAGACTTAAGGTGATTATAGCTAAAATTATTTTTATGAGTTCATGATTGGAAGTGGGGTCAAGGGACGCTCCTTTTCTACATGCTGTCATATCTGGTTTATAGATTGTTATCGCATTTGCTTATTTCATTATTATACTGAATTATTTTACTTAATAATATATCTTTATATATATATATATATATATATATATATATATATATATATAATGAAATGTAATAATTTTTATTCGTTTTACTTTGAATACAAATATAATATAATGGCGACCCTCATCAAAGTATCAATAAGCCATAAACAATTAGTTTTATAACATTGCCGTGTAAAATACTATAGGTTTGTATATTTGAATGAAGTGCTTTACAATACCTCTTCATTTCGGGCCACGTATTTTGAAGAGGTGTAAGTGTTTAATGTAAACATAATTATATGTGTATATGGATTATAATTATACATGCGTATCAAAACCTCTTCACGATTATAAAAAAAAAAAAAATAATGGAAAATCGACAAAAACAAATTATGTAACGCTAACGATAGAAAATGCGTATTAAACATACCAACAACAGGTATATATGATGTGATTATTGAACCATCGGTCTTTTAATTTAATCACGAGTGGTATTTATATATATATATATATATATATAGTCAGTGCTTGACATGGAGGGGGACGTAAGGCGACTGAGTACCCCAACTATATTATCAGGTAACCTAGCATATACCTATTATTTTTTAAAAAAAAGACCCATAAAACGGAACTTTATTTAAGTTTAGTTTTTACTAATATTTTTATAAAAAATAAACTATTTACAAATGTATACCTAAGAAAGTATTAATATTGATATAATGGTACATGATAAATGATAATAATCAAACATCAACATCGACAATTTTTGTTGACGTACACCATCACGTATCTATTGCAACTCGTATTACATTGAACGCTTATAGTTTATTATTTTTTTTTTTTGTTATAATTCGAATTTCGGGTTAATTTAGCCTCTTTAGATAAAAACCATACATCAGTAACTTGGTGAAAGGGTTTTTATGACGCCCAGGTGTCATGGTGAAAATGTTATGGATGGGTTGAATTTAGATGTGCAAAGATTGATTTTGGATAATTACGTATACAGCAAATTTTCAAGTTTGAACTTATCACCAACACGAAACACAAATGCAGTGGAGTGCGTGGTAATTGATAAGAATATAACACGACAATAAGATCAACACTTTTTATTTTTAGTTAATTATAAAGTAGAAAGGGGAAAAGCCTCTTAAAATTTGCTAATCTTAAGTTAGAATTGATAAAATATAAGTAGTTAGGTACTTCAATCTTTAATAGTTTTTAGTCTTCCTCAATTTATGTTTTTCAAAGCTTCATGGATAGTGTGTTAGAGAAAGAAATAAGTGGATAGATACTGAAATATTTGTTGTGCATTATGTTTTATAGATATTCACCATGCCACTGTACACTATATTTACATACTGTGGTTATGGTTTAAACTTTGAAAGCGATTATAACAAATTATGAAATATTCGTTTGTTTGTGGTAACATGTTTAAAGGTGTCATAAAAGGGTGAACCAGTGACGTCCCTAAACCTTTTTATGTGGGAGGAGCAAACTTTAAACATATATTCACAATTATATAATTTCTTAGTAAGATATTGAAAAAAAAAAAAAAAACAAAAATTTGAAGAAAAAAAAGGTCATGGGGGTAACTGTCCGATTTGCTCCCCCCCACCAGTGGGTGAACACTGGGGTGAACACGGTTATTTTTAGTTTTTAATTAGGTAGGGACGCAGACTTTATATGTGTCATCAGAGTACCTCTATTTTTTTTTCTAAATCACGCACTGTATATAGTGTAAGAAAGAAAAATTAAAGTGTTAAATATTATAATTCGGGCTCAAAGCGGCTGTATAATATGTATATAATATTTTTATTCTAAGTCGTATATCTGAAATATTCATACAGTACTGATTTATATTGCAGTATATAATCCGTGTGTGTGTGCAAGTTAATCACTTAAACGTTGTTTACAACTATTAATTATAAGGTTATAGTGTTTCGTCATTAAACGTTTAACTAAAAAAAATCGTTATTACAGCAACATAATTTGTCTGTACGTTGAAAGTTCTTAAACAGCTGCAATCGGTATTCGTTTAGTACACCTGTCTTTGCGGGTAAATACACATTACCTATAGATAGTTTAGGCAGTATCAAAAACGACTACACGTTGCAATATTACCATGGCCGTCAAGTAAGTCATTGTAATATGTTAATAAAAATACCGAGTATGAAAACTGGCTGTGAAACAGGTACGAGGTAGAAATTACTTATTTACCGATATAACATATTATCCAAGTACTTTAGCAAATGATTATTATTATTTTATAATTACACTGCGGAACGAAATTTACGCATTTGTTCGCAATAATATTGTTCTAAGTGGAATACGTTTATCATAAATTAAAAATAATAAAACAACACTATAATATCAACTTGTCCGTGTTTACGGAACATTTAATCATGGCCGGATTTTTTTTTTTTTTGTCGGAGTGGAAAATATGTCAACATCTCAACCCTACTTGTAAAGTCAGGAAGCCCCTTGTCATGTAGTTCACGTTAAAGGGAGGGTGGTTCATTGCCAGGTGTATACACATACCCGAACGTTTGAATAACACTGCGAGTACAACATATTTTGTAGTGTAAATTATATACCACTACGTCAGGCGAGTATGGGATATGTATTATAAGTACCTACTCTATACGTGTACCGTCGTCGTGGTCGTCATCGTGTACGACGAGTTTACACTACAAAATGTCGCTGTCAGTTCGTTTATTATAATAATATAATTATTATAATAATGTATAGTTGATGAATTTAATTCCAAAATGAACGGTTTGCCGTTCGATCGATCGCGGTAATTAAATACAACGTATTCGTGTAGTTGCGCGAGTACTCTATCGTATTTCCAGATCATATTAATTATTAATATTATTATAACAAATTCGTTTTTTTAATTTTTCACTTAGATACGTCTATTAATACACTTTTTTTCATACAAAATCGGTTTACATATCATTAAACGTAAAATTATTTTTACATCAATGGTAGAAAAAAAAACAATTGTTCGTGATATTGAACCAATAATTATATATTTTTTACTCTTTTTACAGATAAATATAATATGGCAAGACGGTTTGTAACACGAGGAAAGCACTTGAGTATTATTGTTCATCCCAACATATATATTAACACACACACATATATATACTATATACATATTATGAGTTTATACGAAATTAAATGAAATACATATAACCGTGCATGAATAAAAATATGTTATGAAAGTACCCGAGATCGGATTGTTATTGAAACATTTGAATATATTGTCGTTTGCGAAGAGTATATATACTATACCAGAGGTGGCGAACCTTTTTTGGTTCAAGTGCCAAATTTTTCTTTTTTAGGTTATAAAAATCGTTCAGGTAACCACAGAAAATTATATTTTCTAAGAATAAAAATAAAATTACAGATTTATTATATTATTTTTATTTAATTTTAGTCATTCTTAGTGAAATACAAGCAGCAATTGTTTCATCGGTAAAAATATTTCTTTCCTTCGATTTAATTAAAATTGTTATGGTGAATAAGCTTTCACAAACATAAGTTAACGAAAAATATGAAAACATAAGGAATAAATATTATCATTTTTAAAACATAGGTACCTATATAATTTGTTTCTTTGAATTTCTTATACCCAACATTTTATAAATAGTATAATTATTTTTTTGTCTACAATTTTTAATAATTTCAATTTTTTACGTGTGTCATTAAAATATGGTCAACGTGCCATCTTTGGCACGCGTGCCATAGATTCGCTACCCCTGTACTATACTATAGTATAGCTCATATACATCAAAACCGAATTCTTAATTGTAAATGATAGCAGTGCATTTGATATTTTATATATATTTCAATAAAGCAGCCCTGCAATAATTATCAGAAGAAAATGTTAGACACTAGAATGCTTACGGAAACATTTAATCTGTAGGTGACGTGTTTACATGTTTCAAGTATATGCATTTCTTATCGTACAGTCTGTTGACAAAAAAAATTAGCTTACGTTTTAAAAATATGATTTTGAATAATACGTTTAACACTTTTACATCTCGTTTAGCTGCGATCTGAATTTTTGTTTTTTTTAGTTAATTAAGATTCTGTTCATTGTTCATTATAAACAATATTATGATAATGAAACGATCACGAAGATTTTTCTTGAACTTGTAGAAATTCATTGAACAGTTATGGAGGTTTAGGATAGCCACGTGTTAATGTTGTAAACAGAGGTCGTTTGTAACTAGGAATAGTGGCTGTACCAGTGTACCTACATATGACTCAATAAACATATTTAATATGTAGGTGTGGATTATTACTTTACAATTTGATTGTGGAATTTTATTCTTCAGAAATGACTGTCATAATTCGCGAAAAATTATCTGTCTTACTAAATCTTGTCTAAATCTCTATCGTTTTAAAAAAACGATAAAAACATTAGTTTGATAATAAACTGATATTTATAAATATAACATTAAATTAAATGATAGATCTGGGTTATACATTTCTTATATTTCAAGCTATAAAAAATATGTTTACCTGGTTTATATTTAATGAAATACAAACGCTTATTATAAATTAACATTATTTCCAAGATATTTTTTCAAATTTCGTTATAATTAGAACAAGTTATAATTATTGAATTAATATCGAAGATAACTCTTTTAAAATATCTTCTGCGATAAATTTGAGGTTTTAAAGAAATTTAATTATGGCTTATGAGAATATTTTTATAATTGAAACTGCTTTAAAGTTTGATTAACGTAGTTTAATTAAAACTATTTATTTAATGGGTCTATTTCTTAATACCAGCAATTTTTAAGTTTTGATTTGTATCAAAAATATACGAACATATTGTAATATGAAGTAATACATCTTAAGTCTACTTATTATAATAATAAATAAAGGATGGAAGACTTCTATTAACAACATTAGTAACTTTAGTTCGGACGACAGTTGCATGCTTAGTAACAAGTAAAGGTTTGCTTAGTTATACATACATGAAACAAAAAGTAACCCATATTTAAGTAATTTATCATAGCATAATATATTAAATTACATGTATATTATAAGTAAATAGAATATGATAAATTACATTTATAAATACGTCAATACAAAGAAGTGATAAATATAAATCATGACATTGTTATTGGTGTGTTTACTGACAATGAAATCATTTTATTTTAAAAAAAGTAAATTATTATTACAAATTCGTTGATAAAGTTTTAAATAAATATTTGAAATATTCAATGGAGTTAAACAAAATGTGTTGGAGATGCGTCATATATAAAAACAAAATAAATAAAACTATTTGTTCTTTGTGTAATTAATGATTTAAAAACTACAGTTATTTTATCTATTGTATGATTTTTTTTTTAAGCAATTTAAAGAAATGATTATTTCATTAAAACTATTTGACACTTTAAATGTAATTCCAGTTGAATTATAAAAGTAAACAAGAGATAATGTTATGTAATGTTCACGGGAATTTTGATTATTGTTATTATTTATCAGTGGTTTTGATATTTTAATGAACTAATTTAAATTTTGTATCATTTACTATATTCAGAGTAATTAATTTATAGCAAAAAGCTTATTTTCCTCGTTAATTTATTTGTTTTTAAAAAAATAATTTAAAGTTATAATCGTGCTATACAATGGAGTAAATAAACTATTTTTACAATATTTATTATAATGATGTTATTTTATTTTTCTGGCCACATGTATCCTTAATTTTACGTTATCGACAAGCAAAAATCCTCCAAAAATGACCATGTTAGAACTGGTATATGGAATACGGAATCAGTAGTCAATTATTTATGAGTATTTTAATTTGTTGATGAGTTAAGTAGTGCACCAACAAATTGTGTCGCACATCCTCTGTTTTTCAAATCCGCTTGTACAACCTTTAAATACTTATTTAAATAAAATAGCAACTACGTGGTTTGATTTTATTATTACCGTAACAATTTTTTTTTTTTTTGTGTGTATGTTTGATTTCAAATCATATTAAGCTCTTTATACGACTATACAGATAAAATGAGTAAATAATGCTAACTTATATATATATTTATTTATTTTCTAAATTTTATGTTTTATGGTGTTTATTTTGCATAACATTAGTGAAATTCACTTTAATATGAATTTATTATTTTATGTCTTATGCAATTGTATTTATGAACAATAGTTTCTAAATACTTTTTAAAATACAACAAACCGTTTCACGTATATGCTTTTCACGAGTTTCATAGTAACTAACTAAATTATTTTATGGGCTAAACGCGACATGCTTAAATAAATGTAGCAAAACATATTTGTTGTATTATATACTCATGAATGATTAATGATATTGTATACAATGGTTGGTTGTACATGCAACAATAAAATACTTTTCACGATTCAAAATTATTGTTGGTTACAGGGGGATGCTATAAACTATGGCAATTAACATTTTACGGTATAAAATAGGTATCATACATAAATACGTGTTTATACATAACAAATATAACATTATAGTTATAACACGTAAAATACATGTTATTGCATCTTTTTTCGATAATGGATTTGTAAATAACGTGTTTATTTATTTTGTGATTTTGTTTTAATTATTCATAGTAGGTATACGTATAGAATTATACGTAATATATACAAATAAAATTACCGAGTCGAGTTGATTAGCAATATAATAGCATTTTCGAGCATGTCAAAAACAATGGCTATTCATGCATGATGGTTGAATAAATGCACACTTCGAGCAGCTCGGTGTTTCCTTATCGATCATTAACATCGGCTTAAGAATATGGACGGAGGCTGAAAACTGAATTAAATAATCAATTTACGAACGATTGTATTGAAAACGCAATGTTTTGGATAATTCAAAATCCGCAAAGTACAGGACGTTTTGTTTCAATAAGAGTTTTAGAACAATAAACGATACTTACAAAATTAGGAAAGCATTATCATAAGGGGCTTATTACGGTTTCCGGTTATTATTTTTGTTTTTAATTGTAACTTCGTCATTACGGCGGTCGTTTACTGATTATACATTTAAATGATCCGTGTAAAACGTTAAAAAATGGCTTCAAAAACAAAAGTTTAAAACAACTCACCACAAACTGTGAACATAGTTAAGTACATAAAAGCGCATATATTTACGTACCTATACCTTACGTGTTTAATTTTAGTTTTTAACGTGGGTTCTCGTAAGTTTAATAACACGGTTGAGATGGAAAAAAAAATACGTACTATTGAAATAATTGACCGATTTGACTATATTTGTTTGTCATTACACATTGTTACACGTATGACAAGACACCATGTTTTCCAACTTTGTTATGTATTGAATGTACTTTGTAAAAACAGTGATCCGGTGTTCTGATAATGTTATAATAAATTAAGCACGACATAATCGGTACTATAGCGTATTAGCGTAAACATAAGCTGTCAACGTTTGATTTATCCGATTGATAATATTGTGATCTTTATGTTTATGCATGCATGTGTTTATCACCAGTGCCGTCTTTAACGGGCAAACTACTTAGACAATTACCTAGAATCTCACATTTGAAATTAAGTGGAGGCCCCAAAATTTGTCAAGTTAGAAGAGATAGATATATTTAGGTGTAAAGAAATTGTACTGCTTTTGTCTAGAATAGTGATTTTCATTATTTTCTCATTCGTATCACCTTTAGCCACTAGAATCAAACACCCACGTCACCCTAATATCAAAATAATAAATAATCTTAATTGTGTATTTTAGAATAATTCTTGAAATAACAAAAAAAAAAATATGTTAGACAAAATAATAATAAGTATACCTACAATTTATTGAGTTGCAGGGTTCAATAAACATTGACATTTTAAAGTTTAAATTTGCAAATTAAAAAAAAAAAAGAGAAAAAATATTAATGATTTATATAAAAACTGATGAGAAATTGGGCCCTAGTGATTTTTACAAAGTTGAGGAAGTCGAGAAAAGTGGAAAAACCGAGATCATATTGTCTTTAAGAGTTGTAGAGCTATAATATACTATAATAATACTACATATCTAGCGACTGCAAAATAACTGACTAACGATCCTGGTTAAGTCAATAATATAATCGATAATGCAGCGATTTCACATTAATAATAATACTGTACGTGTTTATCGGACCTATATAATAAATATAAATAATATAATTTTATTAAAATTAATTGTTTTCTTATATTTTTCCTTTTCTAGTGGATATTTCGTATCACCCCTACACTGCGTCCATGTCACGCTGGTTGAGAACCACTGGCCTAGAGCTTTGCAAAATCTTGCAACGGCACTGTTTATAACATTAATGTATCATCTGGAAACAATGTTTAAAACTAGGTTAAATATATTAATATAACTGGTGAGCGAATTATTACGAAACATTAATTTCATTTAAAAAAAGCATGGTTTGCAATCTTCGCATACCATTATAGATTACCATTTAATACCAAGAAAGCACCAAGATTCCCCTACAGTACTGTATCATAATTTCATTACTTTTTCACGACAAACTTTAATATACAATACATTACCTATGATAAAATAAAACTATTACAGTTTTGAATTAGATTTTAACATTTCTATCAGGTTATATGTATGTCCCTTGGTACTTAAACAGCAACTTTTTTATTTCACGTTAGAATCAAATGTTCATGAAATATTCGACAAATAAATATTTAGTTGCATGTTGGTAAAATGCGTGGATTCATCAGTAAATCAAACGTATTGTCACTGCCGACGCAATTTGTAATTTTATAGTAGCTATTCCAAAAAGTTGTTCGTATGATTTATCGTTTATAGTTATGAAGTAAAGAGTATGGTTTTATTTTAATTGTTGTTTTAAATTTATTGCTCCGTCTAACTTAAATTTCACTGATTCATTTGTCATGTTAACGACAGTAAGTAATTGCATTTTTTTTTTGTCAATTTACTTTCAATGTGTTATTAATTAGTAGGTATATGTTTTGATTTTTAATTGTACTATGTAAATTATTCGATTAATTAAAATGCCGTGTATTTGTGACCAGTTGTTGATTTATTAAAACAAGAACTGTTTTAATTTATTGGGTTTAATATTACTGACTAAAATAGGTATTTTATTTTATGCAGTAACACATTTTAATACATAATTATTTTCTGTATGTAGTGCTAGGATTTAAAATTTAATTTGGGTTTCAAATAAACGCTTATCAAGTGTGTATACATGTGCGCGCAGGTATTTGAGTGTGTGTTTGTGTGATGAATCTTTAAATATCGAATAACGGATCCATGAATAATCCATAAAATATTTAAAATTCTAGTGTAACTCAGCCTTAGATCAGTGATTGTCATCTTGAGTGTACTTGTAAATATTATTAGTATTGTACTAAGACTGAAATAAATACGAGCATAAAAGTTTCTGCACTAGTTTCGTTTTCCACGGGTAAAAAAAAAAATACTTATTCGGAGAATTTTATGCGCAGTATTTTATTAAGAAATAATAAATATAAATTCCTTATTTTATTTGAATTATTATGCGTTCTTGTTGTTTGTCTTGTACGAAAAATGTTCACAAATATTTTCCATTCCTACGTTATTGTTCGAAAGCCGAATGATTTTTTTGTCGAATTCTACATGACTAATAAAATATTATGTACGTATGGATATAATAAAAAACTCATACTTGTCATATTTATTTTATAAGCGTTAAATGTGTATCTGCATAAAACCGAAAAAATTGAAAACAATTATTTCACTTTATATTAAGGTTACTCTATTATATACAATATTTTAATTGTTTTATCACATTAATTAGTAACTACATAATAAAAATGTTCCTGTTTAATAAACGCATTTATTTTTTATTTTCTATGCAAGCTACTCAAGTTACACTTCAGAATGTTTAATAATTATCGGTATTTTACTCAAATACTATCGTTAAAAAAAAAAAAAAAAAAGAGTTTTCGGTAAGTATATAGAATATATCGTATAAGTAAATTGAAGTACTTAATTACATTATCTCTTGCACGAGATCAATGTTGATAATAATACTATAATGTTCGCTTATGTTACCGACACACTCGTATGTATATGTGTTCTTTTATGCTATAAACTCATAACTATTTTATCTCGGATACAAGATCAGAATACAATAATATCGGTCATAACATTATATTATACCTATTACGCGTGGCGAATGAGACCACCCGGTCGTGTTATAACTTCAAGCTTCGGGTCGGCATATTGGTACCCATTAGTGAAGCCGCAAACCATATTCATTAAAATGTTTATTGTTTATTACATTGTTATACAAATGTTTATCCATGGACACATAAATAAGTATTAACATTTACTCACAAAATTTATTTTCGGTCCAAATTTGTTAAAAAACTTATAAATAGAAAAATATGAACACATTTAAACTTTTAATCGAACAAATAATAATAGCGAAAACATTGGATGTGGAAAAAAATAATCAGAGTAAATGAAATAAATACGTCGCTTCATTTTAGTAAAACTAATATTTTATTTAAATATGATAAAAGATTAAAAAATCGCATCGAGCATAATGCATAATATGTACAACTAATATATATTTGTTCAATAAGTAAAAAATAATATATAGTTTTTTTTTTTTTGCAGATGGTCGACTTAAAACATTATTTATGCAAGGGTAATATAGTATTTCAAACGATCCTTTTTTTCTTTTTCACTCTCTCAGGGGAATGTGCATGCCCTTTTTTCCGTAGCGTGACACAACGACGGGATGTTCTAAATAATATTCGCACAGACATTAATGTATGTAAATATAATAAATGCACACACACACAAATTTACATGTTTAAATATATTTATAATAAATCGATCCAAAAAAATGTTATTATATTTAAATAGCTTTGGGATTTGGACAGCATTGGGGTAAATTATTTCCACAGTAACTCACCCCACGCACAAAAAAAACCTTTATTGCATAAAAACAAAGTTCCTTACGTACCAAGGTGTATCACTACGGATCGATGATTATATTTAAATATATATATAATATTATCTATACAGTTTTATAATCCTCAAATTACTGATCACCTCTCACCGCGACATCTGCCGTCGCGGTAGGAATTACTTTGTAAGGGTTCAGTATGCACTTGGGATCCATGGTGTTTTTTAATCTCCTCATCAGGTCGATGGCCTGGACGCTCTTCGTGTACTTTAGATAATGCGTTTTCGCCGAACCGATCCCATGCTCGGCACTTACGCTCCCGCCGCACTTGGACGTCCACCCGTACACGAAAGGTTCGATTAACTGGGTCAATTCCTCGTCGCATCTGGATGTCACTATGTTTAGATGCAAATTGCTGTCTCCTGAAACTCATAATATTGCCACTAATTTATAACATTATATTGTAACTCATCGCGGTTGTAGACGGTGTTGATGAAAAGTTGAGAATATTATAATCCACCTGCTAACCATTATACAGAGCGATGTCTCGGGGGCGTTAAATAAAACAGGCGTGAGCAAAATGGACGATAATAAGTTTTCAGGTGTTCGGACGAGAAAAATATTTTCTGTATTCTTACGGCTGTGGGCTTAATATTTTTTTCTCGTAGGGTTTGAATTATAGGTGTACACACGTAGAATTAGATACTAAAAGATCTGCAGGCATGTACAGGTGTTTTTTTAAAGATATTTTGCACGTTATACGAATTAATATTATTTTTTATTATCCTTTTATACAACATCGAAACAAGTAGTATAAAGTATTATTCATCCTGCAACCTTATGGTCTTTATACGGGTGTGGGGCGTTTAAATTTGAAAGCTCACGTAAACTTCGAACTGTTATGTAGGGGTTTGGAATCGCTGCTTTAAGATCCAAATCAAATATATGACTAACCTAGTTTAAGTACAGTTTATACGCAAATGTTGGTTTATCATCCGCATGCGGTATCGTTTGTTCACCGAAAATTGGATATAAAACCATGACACTATCGTACCACAACGCCATCGTTAATTTTTCGTGGCCGAATACAACTGTTATTAAGTCGGCTGATTTTTTCAACGATATTAATAAAGATTGTGCATGAAAAATAAACGGTCATTGTACGGTTTTCAGCGAATAATCGTTAATAGTGATTCTAAACTATAAAATTTATCAATATTATTTTAAATCGATTTAAAATAACTATTGTGAAAACCTTTATAACTCCTGATGATCAGCGTCAGTACTAGTGGATTAGTTTTAAAATAATTTATGAGTTTTAATTACGTTATTCGTTAGACATTTACGTTAAGGAAATCATTATTGGTTATTGATGTAATTATAATATTTGACTTGTATATAGTTGTACCATGTATTATTGTATTTTTATAATTAGTTTTTAAATCATAAACTCCTTTTTTTTTGATTTTTTTTTTTTTACAAAAATGATAGTTATTGTACATATTGTTTCAGCTAATTTAAATTTTGCGGACGTTACGGTATATTTGGATTTTAGTTATATCAGAATCCAAAATTATTTCTTCCATCGTGATCAACTACAGAATTATTGAAGAGCATAATATTAAAATCATTTGCAACTTAACCATGTCGTCCAGTTATAGGTTTTATGAAACGATTTTTTCATTGTTTCAATGCCATATTAACGCATCGAATTTTCACATTCTCCTAGTGCTTTTAAAATGTATTTTGCATGCTATAATTTTTCATTATCGAGGTTGTACATTTCATGAGTTAAATAAGATTTATTATCACATATTGTTTTTAATTTCTAATTCCACACTGTCGTATATTAAAATATAGTTTAAACTCAAAAAAAAAAAAATTGATATAACTACTAAAATTCCAAAATAAATTACGATAAATACCATATTTTAAGAATTAAGTTAACATCGAATTTACAAGGAAATAATGTTATTTTCTACATTAACATGTTCCACCGTAACGTGTACAAATATCGTTTAATGGAGTCGTTAATTCATATTATAATGCCAGCACGTAACGATGTACCTATATAATTACGAATAGTCAATAGTTAGTGGCGAGGGTGCTTCAAATCCCAATTTAAATGTGTGCCCAGAGTGTGTACATCCTATGAACGTATTATAATACGATTGATATAAGTTGATTTTGATTATATATATACATACACATACAATTATTAGTTCAAACGACGAAATTAATGTTTACTATTTTCGTTGTCAATGATCATGTTTAGTTGTATAATGTTAAAAGAAAAAATAAGTATGTTCAGTTAGGTATTCTGTAGGTAAAAAAATATAGTTTTTTATAGTTTTCAGGGTTTCACGAATATTGAGATACAAAAACAAATAAACATAGTATTTCAAACTACTGGAGTTTAATATATAAAATAAGTAGGTACAAATAGTTTTAATTTGTAAATATAATCTGTTTGTATGACATATGTTTTCAAATTATATTTGAAAGGAATTCCATTGGTTAAATCAAGTAATTACCATAAAAAAAATGAATAGAAAACGGAAAAGTTATTTGTAAGTTAATATATAATGTTGAACTTACCTATGTGACCGAATCCACTAACAATTTTGCAATCCGCTACGTCCTTAAGTTTCTCTCTGGTCAGTTCAACAATTTCGTAGAATTGTTTTAAAGGTATTGATAAATCAAAAGTATATACATAACCCAATTTTAATAACGCATCAATACCTGATTCTCGGATCTTCCATATTTTCTGTGAAATAAAAAAATCCTTAGTCTTAGCAAGAGATTCAAAAAAATGCCCGTTGAATGAATATTGTGTTTATAATTAGATTAAATAAACCAAAACTTTAACTAGTATTAATAAACTATAAAACTGTACAGTATATATTACATAATGGTAATACAATGGAGGAATTTTATGCTCACGAGAAGATCGTTGTAGTTTTATACAGCTCGCATGATTGAAAATAAAAGTCATTATACAATAGTTTTATGAAATATTAATTATTTGCGAATAATGGATGTTAATAATTTTTAAATATTGAACAAATTATCGATTTCTCCGACAGACATGAGGTCTCTATAGTTTTTGCATTTTTAGAAATTATAATGAAAATTATAGTAAACCTTGGGTTAGCGTTGACTAGAGTACGATATCTAAGCGAAATATATGTCTATTAAATCACTTTCAAATTGAGAAAATAAGAGATATTACAACATGTAAGTGCCGCACAAAAAACAGAATATTGTTTGAGCATAAAAACAATAACGTGATCATCAACCGGTGCTTATGGTCATTTATAGCAACGTTCATGGCGAAGGGGCATTCAAATAAAACGTTAGTGGAACCGAACATAAATTTGAGGGTGTTAATTTAGCATTCCTTTAAGTACCGGCCAAATCACACCTGTGCAACGAGGTAATTAGATCACATGATATTCGAGATTGATTTCTACGTAAAATTAATTTTAGTCCAATAAGCTACTGTATCTCTCACGGAGTCTAAAATGGTCAGAAATTGAAATGTGTAATTGCAATCGAAGGCACTTACATTAATGTTCGACGTTTGATCGGACGTCGTAGCATCGGCGATCACCGAGTCATCGAGGGCTTTTTCCAAAACATTTTCCATATGTTGGCCAACATTAGGTCGGCTTGAAGCAAGTTCGATGAGTACGTAGAACTGATATGTATTGGCGATTGGACATTGGAGCTGGAGGTTTTTCTCTACGCACGTAACGGTCACGTTGTCCATGAGTTCAAACGACGAAAGGGTTTCCCCGAACTCGGCCCGAGCAATTGAGAACAATTGTAGTACTTTATCGTAACTATCCAACCCTATTGAAGAAGTAGAAAAAATACCGTGAGATTAAAATCAAACCAAAAAAATTACAATGGTTCATCCACTGTGTTCCTTACGGGTTTGATAAACATTTGTGATAATATAGACGATAAAATGTTAAATCCTGAAACGGTCCCTGCAATAAAGTACAATTTGGTACATTTTACAGCATTCGTAATGCATTGCATGTCGTTATCGTACCGTACCGACGAAAAATGCGTATACGCTTATAGAACCACGTTTATAAACAATAAGTCATCAAAACGAAAAACAATGTCGACCCATATTCAAACGTTTACCGAACAGTTTTTATCGCCCAAAATGATAATTATTTGTCTGCGTTAGCTACACCCAATATCCAAGGAATTAAGTCTAAAAAGTATTTTCTATAAACGGATATACTCGTAGTTTCAAAATAATATAATTTACTTTTGTATCATAGATATGCTTTATTTATTTTTTTAAAATAACTTAACCATATATCTAGTAAATCTATGTCCAAAGAATTGGCCATGGCATAGAACCATCTTTATAAATTATTATTTTAAGTATTACACTACAGTTAACATTTAAACACAGTTAAAGCGATTAACAATTCTTTATCTGGCTGTGGATTTTACACCTCAAAAAATTATATTTACCCCTTGTGAGGAGGGTTACTACCCCCAGGCAGGGAACCGCTCAGTTATCGTAATAATTATTACGAGTACAATGACAGTAATTTGAATCCGTAAGATAATAAAAATGGTTTGTGAATTAACTTGACTTTTTTTTGGTACAAATTGGTTCTAGTTTATTTTACTTTCCAACAATCTTTAAAATAATTCGTAATGTATGATATAATATGACATAATTTTAGTCAAATATGTCATCAAAATGGTAAAACGTAAATACTAGGATTCTTTATTATTCTTTATTAATTAGATAATGTATTCATATTTAAAATTTAAAAATTATTCAAAATATCCCATGATAAAATAATATAAACAATTATACCGAAGTAAGATGGTATTATTTAAATTGCGTAAAATATTAAAAAGTTTTCGTAATTCTGCAGTTATACTTTTTAGAGCAGTGATTTAAATATAAAAATAATCAAACAATAATTGGGTGTTATTCTTTACGGTAAAGTAAACATTTTAAGTTATAAATATTCAAATCATTCTTATCTATTCATTACTATAATCAGCTGATCTTCGCATGTAGTTAATACAACTTATATTAATAAATATCGAGAAATATTTGGTGAAAATGAATTCATCACTTTAAATGCACATAAGCAGAGTAGCTATATTTGAAATTATAAAAATACTTTGTTAACATTTGTCTGACTGATTGTTTAGAATTTGACCAATATATATAAGAAATTACCAAATTGACTCTTAAGTAAGTTTTGGTTGCTATATAATTTATTTGAATTGATGTCTGCTTTATTTCAATTGCTGATTAATTTATATTGTAGTTTTTTCATTACATTTTAATAATGCATTACAGTAAGAAAAATAAAGCCACTCCATATTGATTTTGTGTCGGAATTTATTTTTTTTTAAAAAAATATACATTATACAAAGGCAAATTAATTAGTAAAAACTTTCTTTGATATTTCTTGTTCAATGAACACATGTTGAGCATATACATTTAAGTAAAAGTTGTAAAGTTCTAATCGTTAATAGTGATACATTGTTTCAATTTGTCAATTATAATTTAAGTGAAATAAATATAAATTAAACACTGCAAACTTATAATTATCAACCAATCAACTATCTTGATAAGGTAAAAGTAATCTACATTGTCATTTTTTAAACAAAATATAAAAATGGTTTTTTTTTTAGTTGTTGTTGTCTTAAATAAGTAATTATATAGCTGTTAGTTTAAGAAGAACATGTATGGTTGATATTTTTTTGGAATTTTGGATCTTGGAAATATGACAAGAGTTCCGTAATTTACTAAATGCAATTCAAATTTACAAGTGATGAATGTTTGAATATAACTTTAAGCTATATTATTTTATTTACAGTGTAGTTTATAATAGTTTTACAACAACTTTTTAATTATTAGATCATTTTTTTATGTCATTTTTATAGCTTTTTTTTTTAATTTAAAATTTAAATGGCTAAGAGTAAAAAAACATTTATATTGCTTGTCGAATCAATGTTTTACTTTTATTCTTTCTTTAAGTTGATTAAAATTTTAACTTAACATTGTTTACCAACAGGTAATATTTTTAAATTAAAAAAAAAAGAATAAATATTAAACATGTATTATTATATTTGTTTACCGATAAATGCTATATTTACATGCTTCGGGAGACGTGGACACAATATCGCTACTTTAGTGATAACACCCAAAGTTCCTTCCGAACCAATGAATAAATGTTTCAAATGATATCCAGTGTTGTCTTTCCTCATAGTATTTACACAGTCTAATATCGTACCATCTGCGGTTACCTACAATATTAAAAACAGTTATTATAGAAAATGAATGTTATTAATATTTTATTTGCTATAGGAATAAAATAAATTCATAACAATAATAATAATAAAAAAAAAAAAATAATTATAAGTAGGAGAAATAGTAATTAACAGCGTTGCAATAAGAACGATCATGTTAATACACAGTTATTATAGGCTGGACTTATTATTATAATAACGATTGAAATTGAAAGGATTATTTTTATGTAAGCGGTATCAATAATAAAATATTCGTGTTTTCGGTAAGTATAAATCACTTATTTACCCAATAGATATATAAATATTTCAAAATATTAGTCTAACCTAGGGTAACCATATTTATGAAAAATAAAACTGGAAAAATATGTTTTCTAAAAAAAAGAATACCTTTTTTTGAACTTCAATATTATATGCAATAAAAATAATTTTTAATTAGTTTAATATTTTAATAAAACATTTATTTGCATTCTTTTTTTTGCTGTGAGATTGAAAAAAATTCCTTAAATTATTCTATATTTTTATTGAGTTGATGTCAATTGTTCATAATTTTCTTCATCACATCCTTTGACATATTTTTTTGATGAACTGATTGCATTTAATAGTTTTAGTTGTGTTAACAAAAAATCATAAAAATCATTACAGGAATATTTTTCAAAATTATTTTTAAGAATTATTATTGCTTTGACAGTTAAATACTGTACGATAAAACGAATTTTTTCGTCCGTTCATAAAATATTTGTGATTGAAAATATTCTTTCTATTACTGCATTAGTTAATCTGCAAAGGTACAGTGAGCGTATATTTCCTTTTAGGCATTTAAAAAAAATCAATAAAAGTGATAACACTAATGACTCGCAACAATTTAAATAAAAAGAACTGATACACAGTGGCTATAACATAAGATCGTTGCAATGTACACACGTTACTGCACGACTATGTTCGATTTTTCGATTAATTTACCTAATATACCTATTATACCGAATATCGTTGATTATAAATAGTACTGTATATTGGTAAACTATTTGTATTTAATATCGATTTCGTTAGAAGTCTCGCACATGGGTTCGTAGTACATATATATATATATATATATATATATATATACACTATATGACATATCTTATTTATTTTTTTTTTTTTACTCTCAGTTTACAATTTTTATGGAAGTAACGGGATTAAAACGGGACCCTATTCTAAAAACGGGACAAAAAGCATCCCGTTCAAAGTTTGTCGGAACAACAGGACATAATGATAAAATAAGAGACAGTTCCGTTTTAAACGGGACGTATGGTCACCCTAGTCTAACCCATGATGTTTTACCGCAATAATTACAGTGAACGCATGTAACGTGCATAAGAATACGGTCGTCTAATTAAAAAATAAAATCGTCCGTAGACTGAACTAGCTCTGAATATTTTTAGTAAAAAAAGGAAGAAAAAAAAACACAAATAAATGGCTTTAATAAATAAAGAGGGTTGCCCTCGTGTATAATATATAGGTAGTTAAGCCCCAAGAGTTTCGGTGGATTACCGAGCGATAAAAAAAAAAAAGAAGAAAAAATAACATGAAACACTGATTTGATTAAAAAAGAAAAAAACGAAAGTGAGAGAGAGAGATGTAAAAGAAAAAAAAGAACCCGAACCCACTTAATTGAGCGTTGGGGCCGATTGCTAAATCACCGGCGACAGCAGCAGACGTACGCAATTATACAAGTGGGCCGGGGTAGGTTGTCTGGTGACCGACGGTGGCAGCGGCCTGTAGTGACGGTGGAAATCGTGTACGCTATGCGCATACCAATTCCGATTCCGGTGCCAACGAAAACACGCGTAATTAAGGAAAAGTTTTGGGCGCCAAAGCCGCGCGTTTTCCACCGATCAAACACATTTTTCCACCACCTCCGCGGGTCACCCGGTTTATCGGTGTTTTATTCGAAATCCGTTTTCGAAGGGACGGTAAACCCGTAGGAATACGTACACAGGTACAGTTTTTCCTACTAATTAATTATACCCCGATCGATTTCGATTTTAACTAGCCGGTGATAAAGTACCCTTTTTTTTATACATAAACCGTACGTGCACGAGTACATTATCATGGTTATATAGTATGCTTTTGACAGATATTTACAGGTCTGTTACTCCCGACTCATACACACACACACACGTACATGTTAAATTGTTTGATAAATATATATGTACATAATTGTACATTAAATAAGCCGTAACAATTTGATAAAGGACCATCATGTTGGAAAATTAATGTTGGTTTTGAATTGTTGAACTCTACGGGAGTTGTTGGAGGAAAAAAAGTGTGCGAGACGGTGATTTTTAATTCGATGACGTGAAGTATTAATGATCCTTTTAGTTTTCAAATGCTTCCATCGAGTGGATCGGGTCTAATACGGTACTGCCACTTTTGCGTTACGTGGCTCGAGACTTTGAGCTGGCGCAAGCGTACTGTAAGCTAATAATCGTGCATTAGGTAAGCTGAAACCTAGTTGAGTTGGTTCCTAGATAATTTTAGTTTATACCCAAGTTGGATCCTGGATTAATTTAAGCACCTATACTATCAGGGGTGTAATTTCGATGAAAAATCTAGAGTTAGTAGCTTCCATGAAATAATATTAGTTCAACAACTCCCAGATGATTTTCGGCAAGTATTGGATTAGTCATATGTTTTACTTCCTATTTTAACTGTCTTCGGACCGTTTACGATAAGTTTTTGACCACAAAAATTCATCATAGACAGTCCTGGGCACGTTGAAATGGAAAGGAAAATTTTAACGAGGAGTAATAGCTATCTGAAAATAATGCTGGATCCAACCAGTGTACTTGGGGAAGTCTAGACCCTAGACCCCCTTTCCTCGTAAACACGCCACTGCAGCACGCATGTTATAGCCCACGGGTATTTGCACAACTCCGCGTTGCGATGTATTTTATCGCCACGGTCCACGGTTGACTGTCGTAAACATTATAACCTGTGGCGCCGCTGCGCTCACCGCATATTCCAAACAGATTAAAAATAAATAAAAAAATATATTTGATCACAAACACACGCGCGCGCGTATTTTGATCCGAATATAATTTATGTTACACGTACAGGTACGCGCGGTAAAACGATTATTTATTATTATTATAAGACTAATCGACCATGAAAATGACCATGGCTGTGTGTTAACATGTATATTATACGTACAAAGTGCAAGCGATAAGTACTTGCAACACGAGTTTGCGTTAGACATTAAAAAAATTATAATAACAATAATAATATGTATTACATGGCGGTGCATATTGTAATGATACGATGTAAATCGATTATTGTTGTCATTATAACTATCGAATTACATAGTACACTTATGTTATAGGTATGGTTACGAAGTCGTGTAGTTAAATAATATCGTTAACAGCTAAAATTGTTGCATGTATTTCCGAGGTCCTCCGCGATCGTTTTGTTCACCTTCTGTGTCGGTCGATACATCGTGATATTATTAATTATTAATAAATAATTACTTAGTTTATCTTATAAGATTAGTTTATCTTATACGTATACGTACATATCAATCATGTATTTTATTTCGATAAAATATTACACTACAGCGATGCGAATTAATTTAATTTAATTTAAGAAGAATAAGTGAAATTATTTCTGATTTAGACCATAAGTGAATATCTACATCAAATTCCATTACCGTTTAGTATTATATAATTATTCACGAAGACATAAGAATAAAACACGCACATTGTGTTCTTTAAACTTTCTACGAGTGATACTTATAGTATAGAGTGATAACCTATGCGATATTATCTAATTTTATTGGGTATGCGTTTTCTCATTTTTCCAACTTCTTAGTTTCTCGGTTGGCTTTAAAATTTCAAAAAAAATCACATGTTGAATCTACAGGTAACTAACGGAATTACTGGATTTCGATGGACTTGAATAACTTTTGGGAGGCTCAATATTTCTGTTCATAGTCTCAGTGATTTTAATCGATTTTTTCAAATCAATTTCTCGAATGCAAACACCCACGCACGAGTAAGCTCATAATGAAATGTATTCTAGTTCTTCTTCTCAATTCTCGGTCATGTAGTCGTCGCGTAACGTTATATAGTCGTCACCGTGATCAACTTCCATCGTTTTACACACGGTGCCAAAGCAATACGTATTCACTGTATATTTTGCGGTGTATATGTGTGTTGTGTGCACTGTGCACGAGCCTCACAGGGTTTTCCAGTCGAGTGCACACACAAAACTCTCTCGGGGGTCACACGCGGTACATAATATATATGTATTACATTTTGTACACTACGATCTCGTCAATCGAATAAAACGAGATGGAAAGATGGGGGTGAGAGCAACGTGTATTCTACACACACACATACGCATTGGAGTATAGAACTTAACGAACCGTCGATCGATATGTATATATATATAGAAACGTATGTGTATAATATATATGTATTGTATTTGTTTACGTTTATAAGCTGCTCAAGTCCTCTCACCCGACTCTTATTCCATATGAGCGAGGAGGAAATTGCAACGGCGGCGATTTACTCAAGTGCGCGCGCGTGTATTTTTCCAATATTGACTTACGGCTTCCAGGCCCAGGACGCACCCCTGCAGCGTGCCGTACCGTATGACGCGTATGCCACCGGCGTTGGTCGACACGTTGCCGCCAATTTGACAACTACCCTTCGACCCTAAATCCAATGGCATCATGTACCCGTGACTCTCCACGTGGTTCATCAGCGACTCGAGCACGCAGCCCGCCTGGCACACCAACACTCCTGCGAAAAAATATGGAAATAATATAAGCTGCAAATGATACGATTTATGTTTACTACATATATTCAAATAGACTCTTATTTATCTTAGTTGTCGCTGTATATTGTTGTGTATCGGAGCATTTTGATAAATATATCATCATTGTTTACAGTCGTAATCAATATGGTTGAATGTAGTACTTAGGTATAGTTTTTTTTTTATTATTATTATTATCCTACTATTTATATACTGAAATAAACGCCAAATTAGGCTCACATTCAGAATAATATATACCTAGTTAACACAATAACGTATGCTAAAACAGCATAAAAAATAATAGCATTAGCTAGATACAGTCTAAATTTTAATAGTTTTAACAATTACTTAACCGATTAACTTTAATAATGAAGCGAGTCAAGGTCTGATTCATTTTCCAGTCTCAAACTCCTTCAAGGGGGTAATTATGTTCATAGTTATCATAATAATTGCGGTGGGTTTTGGTATAAAAACTAGGACTTTTTTTATTTTTATTTTTTATTATAGATACTAGTATTAAAAGCTCAAACTAAGATTTGTTTGTGAGTTTTAATATAGTTTTAATGTGTTCGTGTAATTATTGACGATCAGCATGAAGGTAATGCGCATATATAACGGATACATTTAAGTTACAACATTATTTTTTTTCATTATGTAAATTAGACGGTTTTGTGGTAGGCGTTCTTCGTCTATTTTGGCTTATATAAAGTTTTGTTTAAAATTAATTGTATATTTGTCAGGCTAGATAACATTGACATACCGTTGTCTACATATAAGAGGGCCATAAATTATGATCGCCAAAGGATATTTTTTAAAATGTATATTTTAAAACACATTAGAAAATAGCAATTTATTTGACGTATAACAATTGGTTCATTATTATTATTACTTTTTTAATATCTTCTGGTTAAAACAAATTGTACATTACATGTTTGGAGATGAAAAAAAACATGTATAGACAATTACCCGTATAGACGCGGCATGGCAAGTGCTTTTGGCGTTACTATGAAGTATAATATCTGGTCGAGTGTATAATCAAAAAAAGAGGTTTGAATTCAGTTAATTTTATTTTTTCCAACCATTTGCATACGAACAAAGCAGATAAGTATTTAATATAATTTACCTATCATTAGGTGAATTATTCTTACTGTAACCTCTATCTGTTTATTATTATAGATTCATATTTATTTTTATTAATCCTTTAAAATTATGTTGTTTAATCATTTAATGGTAATTTATTGATAAGTTTACCCTATTGTATTTATAAATACAATTATTCCTAACCAAACAGTTGGAACTATTAAAAGCTTTAAAAGTTCCTCGTAAACCTATACATGGCGCGTGTATTTGTTTGTAATTACTATAATATCGTAATACCCAGTGACGAAGGGACTATATTATTACACGCGTTTTACATACACTATACACCAAGTATCGTCTCTACCTAAGATATAACATACGTCGACCTTCGTGTTATGGCTACAAGAATTAAATGATCTTGATTTAAGAATTAAAAAAAGTTTTTAATTGAAATTTACAGCAAACAAGTTTTTAATCTTCATTAGTGTTATCAAATATCACCCATATTTCTTTGTGAATCATTTTTAAATTTTTTGCGAAAATAAAATCATGTCCGAAATGTTTGAATAGGATCATTGGTGTTGTAAACGTGTGTCATAGTCATAAACTACTAGTTAAAAAATTAATTTTCAAACGAAACAGTGATTGAAATAATACAACTATTACACACAAAGCAGCGTTTTACAAACACATATTAAGGTTGGATAATTTTGTTGAACCGTTGCTATTTATTGAAAACAAAACTAAGAGTAATTAATTATGTTTGAAAACCATAACGATAACATCGTGGTAGTTATGAACATGCAAAAATATAATTGATAACATGTTTTTCTTTTCATGTGGGGTCAATTTTTATGAAACAAATCAATTAGATCAGTGGCTCTTAATTAGTATGAAGCCACGGACCGTTAGTTATAACTTAAATTGATCCGGGAACCTCTTTTTTTGTAAATACTTACTATTCAATTTTGTTTAATTATGAAAATAATTTAGTATTTATTTTAATTTGAAAAACCTTTTTGTTATATTATTATATTATATTTTTGTTATATTGTCAAATATATATACAAATAAATATAAATATAAATATTAATTTCACTGAAATAAAATAAAAAAATTATTGTAGTACTACACAACCGTGGACCCCCTAAAATCAATACGCGGAACCTTGGGAGTCCGCGGACCACCAATTGGGAACCACTGAATTAGATTTTCGCGTTAACTTCGAGGTTTCACACCACATCATGTAGACATAACATGCTTAAAAACTTCTCGGATGGTATAGGTATATTATACCTATATTTTGTACGTGTATATACATATTTAATATTTGACACACAAACACGTTTATATATTTGAACATACATTTATTTATCGCACAATAACACGCATCGTGTTGGGACAATTAAACGTGTTTATATCCGTTTAAGAGAGATGCGTATCACGATGTAGTAAGACCGTATTTTTCTTCGCGTAACATTCGATCGTGTGCCGATTACTTAGCTTTATGTGTGTGCACGCACGGGTATATTACATACTATATGTGTACAGGGTGTCGTACACGAAGATTAACCGTATACAATGTACGAAGGTGATCTAATACGTTGAAACAATTGGTATATTTTACACATGTCTTGATTGTACCTAATCCACACCAGATATATCCGTTAGAAGTTTGAACTCCGTATTATCACGACTTTTGACTACACATTCCCACACAACATATCTAAATGGCGGTATAAACCACCCATATCCAAAGGGCCTAGGCTGAGGGCTTCGGGATTTGAAGGTCCCCAGGTATACAATAATTACATTATATTTACAAAATATAATTAAATTTTTTTTTTTTTTTTTAAATAAATATCCAACGCAAAATATTAAAATTATCTATTTATAAAATGAAGCAATTTTATCAAAAAAAAGAAAAACTGATTTTTTCGTCTGCATATTACATGGGTAGATGAGGTTCAAATAAATCTTAACAAATGTTGAATGTAAAAATGTACTGTATATAATTGAGATAAATGATTATTCGTAATATCACGGTAAAGTTTAAAATTATAATTAACAATAAAGATGTGAGTAATAGATTTAAATGAGAATTGACTTTTTACTAATAAAGTAACTGAGTTTAATAACGAAGTTTAATTGTTAATTAATAATAATAATTGATATGTTCAAAAAATATATGATATGTATCATAATTTATGTGTTTAAAGGTCCGGGGGCCTCACATACCCTAGAAACGTCTCTGAGATCACCAATGTATTACACCAGTTATGGGCTACCGACCGCGTGAGAACCACGTTTGCGCGCACGTGAAAAGTGGCGTATCGAAATATTTGTCAAAAATAATCACAAACTGCGTTATAACTCACAAACAATACACACATATATATATATCCATAATACCTCAAGCATTTTATATGGGTATAACGTTTTCGAAACACTATTATCAATTTATTTACGTGTACACACCTCGATCATGATTTTTCTTATTTGTTTAGATATTTTTCGTCTATATATATATAAATATATAGTATATATTTTTACAATAGATAAATCTAGTATAAATGTATGCTCAACTAGAGCTTATATTTGTAAACGACTAAAAGTATTGAGACGACACAATGTGCTAATATCACACATAGTTCATATTTAACAAATCCTGCAGGCTAGTCCTCATAATTTTTTCAAACTACTCTGCAGTGAATATTTCTCCTTATAACACCTCAACGTGATTCAGATAATTTATATTTCAATACATATGACCATACACACGTACTTATTGTGATGTATTTAGCTCTATACAAATTATTTTATTATATGGAAGTACAAATTTTTTTATATTTTATTAAAAATAAATATCAATGATATTTATTTTTTTTTATATGTTAGGGCTGTGGAAATTAGTGCTCTTGATACCCAAACAAGGGTACCATGGTTTTACGGATATTACCCGATTTACAAAATTTTAGGTGCCCGTTATGGATTGGGTACCCGTTTTGGATTAGGTACCCATTATGGTTTGTGTACTCGTTATTTACTTCACCAATAGGCTAGTCATCTCAAAAATGTATACAAAAGATGATGACCAGCTATCTGATAACAGTTTGATATTGTCGACTTACTACATTATATCTATACACGTACTCGTATGATTGTCACTACATATTATCTGCGTAACTATACACATACAAGGTATAACTATAGCCACTATAACCGTTACCTACAAGGTTTTAATGTAGGATTTCAAATAGCTTTTAACATGGTATTTAACATTATACTTGAATAAACTTATTATTAAACTACAAAACACTAAAAACACTCAAAAAATACTAAACATTTTATTTTTAAACCATAATTTTGTTAAATTAAAAGAGGATATAATTCTTATTCATTTGATTGTATAATTTAATATAATATTAATTTCCTCCTAGCAGGTAGATTATAGCTTGACCGCTTACGTGCATTAAAAACTTTCGGGTACCCAAACATTTTGGGTAATGGATACCCACTATCCGAAAACGTTGGTTATCCGCTACAAAACAAGAGCACTAGAGGAAATATTTGGTCTTTTTCTACTCCTTAGAGTCGCGTTCACGAACATACGCGTATGTGCAAATCTGCACGTAAACAGTATTATTGTGTGTAAAATAGGTACGTGTTTTATCGGTCAACGAACAAACCGGATTTTTTCCGTCAGTATTTTCCCGTACACATAATATCGCATACAGCGGTGTATCTAGGATTAATTTAACGGGGGGTGTTTTAAAATTTAACGGACTTGTGGTAAATGGAGGCTCTGGCTCGCCCTCTGTATTCCATTAATAAATATCATGTTTTTATATAAATTGTGTATTATATAATACAATATATAATGTACTATTTCTAGTACTCGTGTAGAGCAAATTATATTGTAAGTTTGCAATATGGTGAAATACCGTAAAATACGGTCGATGAGGAGGGGTGTTATAACACCCATATCACTCCCCTAAATACGCCCCTGATCGCATACGTAAACTGGGTATTACACTACTACGTTAAACACGCGCTTGTAATCCTGGTCGTCGTTCCGATAACACAACGAATGTGTTTCGTATGTACATTGTGTGTGTGTGTGTGTGTTCGTATTGAACTACTTACCGGAGACGGGATCGAAATTAATTATACTGTTCATTCGCTGCGTGGATAAGACCACCTCGTCGAACATCGCCACGCTGCCGCCTGACATGCCCGTGTTGCCCGCCTGGGGGCATACAGCTATGTTCCTTCCGTTGCAGTACTTCAATATTTCCGACACGTCCTTCGTGGTTTTCGGTTTTAACACCAATCCGCTCTCACCTGCACACGCACACGCATCAGTCAAAACACGACCGTAACAACGGTTATAGTAACAATAATCCTTGCAAGTAACATGTTCGCGTACAGGTATACGGCGCACGTAGGTTCGCGTGCGCGCGTACACTGATCCAAATGAAATGTAATCGCGCGAAATAATTACACAATCGTCGTTTAACTTCTATAATTCGATATAATAATAATATGTAAATGCGCTACCGCAGCTACCACTACCACCACCACCACCACGACCACGACCACCACTACCATTGTCGAGTAAATAGAACTCGTAGACGGTATTGTATGAATGTGCATAATTTTTCGAAACAGTTTTTAATAACTGCAGCACGCACCAAATGGGGGCAGGCACTACAAATAAACTACCGTCTATAATTTTATACATTATTTTTAACGACTGTGACGGAAATTAATTTAGACATTAAAACTTTCATTAAACAAGCAATTCGCTTGTGTGTATTTGTACTTTTTGTTAGAGAAAATTGTACGATATTGATATTGTGACTTATACTTTCTTACTTCTATAGTTACGGAATTTTAATATAAATTTCAATAAGGGATTAGCTTGAGTTGTTTATAGTTGGTTTGTTGTTGTCGTTGTTATAAAAAAAAAAAAAAAATAATAAATTGTAATTTTAACAAGATCCTATAGTATATGCACTGAATGTACTTATGAGAATGTTTAAAAATCATATTAAATTTGGAGGACTCTGGATGGAGATTCGAGTTGACGATTGATTGTTAAGGACTCAGAAAGAAAAAAAAATAATTAAGGTAAAACCTTTCAACACCCAATAATCAAAATATGCAAATATTAAATATTTCAATTTTATTTAAGAATGACTTCGACTTGAAAATTGATAAGCCGAAATGTTGATATTGACTACGAGAAAAATGTTGATTCTGTTGATAATGGAAAAAGAAATTATGGAGAAAGTTTAATATTATGATCCATGGCTTGTGTGGTAATAACGAAGAAAGGTATCTAGTTGTCTTTAGGACGGACAAGTCGAAACAATACACGAAATTATTTATGAAGATAAGTCATAAATGGGACTACGATATATTCTGCAGACGACTGAGTAGTATACAACTTCATCTAAAATCACATGGTATAGAGGATCTAAGAAAACTGATATATTAATACCATTTCGATGGATATGGTGAAATTATTTTTACTGCATTTTTATTTAAATTATGATGGGAAATGTTTTTAACAGACGATAGTTTTTTTTTATTACTCTCATTTTATTATTATATAATTATAAATTAATCGTAATAGCCGGTAAAAAGCTGATTAAATACATACTATTGCCAGTAAGTACCGAGCATATAAAAAGATTGCCACCGATATTGTAACGAAAAAATTATACTGTAATTTTTATGTAAAAATGTAATATAAATTCATGAACATAAAAAGTTTTAAAGTTTTAAAAGTGTTGAACAATACTTGTCATACGCTCATATACGTTATCACTAAACTAAATATATTTTAAGCATGAAATAAATAAATAATAAGAAATTTGTTAAGTTTAAGCATTTTATGAATCATTCGAGTTAATTTTACCTATGCCGTTTCTTATAAAACTAAATTAAAGCCCTACTTACTGGCCATACAATAAAACTTTGCGTTATGCATGATCGTCCTACTAAATCTAATCGTTCAACACATTATTTTACGTACGACACAGGATTCGATTTATACGATTTGATAGTTAACCTACGTTTATATAACTTTACAATAACGTTTGTGAATCACGCAATCACACGTGCCATTGCAGGATATGCACTCTTCTTAATTGTACGTCATACGTAGTGTTTTGTAAATTGTGTAAACACAGTAATAACTAGTTCTTCGGATTACAGTTATAAATAACTAATTTTTATACTTCTCGCAAATATCATCGAACAGTATGTAATAATGTTATATACACGTAGCTGATGCAACATCGCATCAACAATAATAATAAATGACATTAATTATAAACGTAATCGTAATCATTACGACCTAATGGTTTATACGATTATACGCGAATGATTCACGGCGGTGTGTATGTTTTATGATGTGGTAATAAATATTATCGGTTTTGATGTGTTTGGATGCATAGTTCATTAAATGATTCGAGTACATATTTAACGAGTACATGGATTTGTTCAGCTTTTGCGCACTGCTCGTGATTATCTACGATTTAGTACTGCAGCCAATGCCGGGTTAAGAAGTGGGGTATTATATTTTTTTTGGAAAAATTATTAATAATTGAAAAACGTGTATAACGAATAATAGTAAATAATAATAAAATATCGCCTACCGCATAATTATCAGGTGAGTGAACGTTAGCGTATTATTAGTATGACCATATTATTATTATAGTGCTCAAATTTTTTTTATTTTTGTTCGTGCTATCGTATTATTTTCGAGTAGAAATTGTATACAATATGTTTACACATAATCGTGTTTGTTGTACAACCATATGTCTGCGTTATAATTTATAATCATTAGATTATTAAATTTGATAACTAAATGTTATATTAAATGTAATATTTAATTTTTAATGATTTATTTGAACACGACAAAACAATTTTTTTATTATTCTATCGACTATTCGTCTTTCCAGTCTCGTGTACCATACTCGTAGTCTCGTCAACTGTCAACTTATAGTGAATGAAAAACAAACTGACTTAGTATTTCCGACAAGCGGTTTTTCTTCAATTAATATGAATAGAAAGCGCATAAAGTTAAGTGGTATTGAACGTTTATACTGACTACTAATAGTTCTAGTATATGAAAACTACGGATGTTACGAAATGTTTATAAATATAGATCAATTAAACAATTTAAACGTTGTTGTTATTAATATAATTTTTTTTTTTTTTTTGAGGGGTATAACGGGTTTGTAAAGGGTGGTATATTTGTCAACCTGGTAACAGCTGCAGCAGCGCAATAACAAAGATTTCATGGTTAAAATAATACGTAACATAACATCGTACGAAAAGAATATGTGATAATAGACCGATGGCCGAGAAGGAACAGTTGGATTCATCGAGACGCATTCGATTGGAGCTTCGGGATAGGGTTTAAAATCAAACGGAACGAGTGAGACTGACTGAGTTAGGGAAAGCCGAAGGGTAAACGTATAGCCGGACGGAGAGAGGGTGAGAGAGAAATATAATGCTGGAGAGGAGAAATGTGAAGATAGAAAAACGTAACATGAATACATAGTAAGAAAAAACGGTCGATGATAAATGATGCGTATTATGACGTGGTTTCGGTTATTTCGAAGGAACAGATTGTGGCGAAAACCGATAACGACCGTGCTCGGAGAGTTGATAGTTTTGAACCCTGGTCGGTCGAAATAAAACGTAGAACGTGTGTGGAACAACTTATTCCTCCTCCTCCTCTTCCACTTATGCGCATAACATATATCTGTACACGTTTCAGAAATGGTATGAAAAATAATGAAGTACGACGAGTTGTCCGTCACACATCTCCACTGCACTCTCTGTCAGCCGAGAGAACGCAACTGGGGGCACCCATCAAATCCGTCTATCCTCGCACGCATTTCCGCCACTTCTCGGCGGGTTTGCATACCGGTGTAGCTGCGTGACGGTCGAAATTAGAGTTCGAGACAACGGAACAAACGCGCTGAAAAGTAGTGGGAACGAGTTGCGTTCACTCGATGAACAGAAGTGCACTCTCGTGTCCGTCGTTATTTTTCACGCGCGAGTTCGGTTGGGCGAGGGGTGATTTTCTCCCTTATTTTACTGTTCACCGCGTGATCGATGAGCGGTGAACACGGGGATTCGTCGGCTTACCGGACACGTGTTTCAAGTAGTCCACGTTGTACGGCCCGACGTTTTGACGGCCGGTCAACACGTTCGACTCGCCCAGCAGCGACCTGAAGTGATGCACGTCGGCGTCGGTGACGCGTGCGTACTTGCCACGGACCTTCGCGGGACCCGAGCACCATCGCTGCTGGCACTGGAACCGGAACCGTCCGATCAGCGCTGCGGCGACGGGTAACGATCTCCGCGAACATTGGACCATGGCGAGGGACGACATGATGGGGCGCGTCGTCGTTTTTACCGTGGTTGGGTAAAATGAAAAAAAAACAATACTCGTTGACGGTCGAAATTATCACTATGGAAAAGGAAAGAACACGCGGCTGCCGGCATTCGATACGACGCCCGTAAGAACGTGCAGCCTTGTGCGATTACACTCTCCGTGGCACTGATGAGCCGTCAACATGTAGCGTTCGTCGTTCACCGCGTGATAACCGGCAGTGTACACTCGAACGTCCAATCGATAGCTCGAGGCGATAACAGCAACATTTGATTTCCAACGCACATCGGTAACGCGTCGTTACCGAAAACTGTTCTAAAAATAGATCGCGCGAAAATAAATCGTCCAATAATGATTAATAATCGACACGCGTGTCATCGATGTCACGATGGTCCGGGTCCACGATCTGGAGGTTAGGAACGTCCCACGTATGGAGCACTGGCGTAACTTCGAGGCTTAGACATTAGAGCGAAATGTTCAACAGCCTTCTTATCCGAACAACAGTATACGAGAGGTCTACTGGAAATAAAACCCCCTTTCTAAAACAATCTTGTATATTATTATATTAATATTGAATATAATAATACATCATAATAAAACTACTTATAACAGAAAATAAAATTTGCGGTAAGTTTAAAGTATTGAAATTTGAAGTTAACACAGAATATAGTCATATAATCATTACTTATTATTTTGGTGTTGCAGAAAAAAGGGGTAAGAAGTCATTTCTCGTTGCATTTACGCGTGAATGTTGCACATACTGATAGTTTTTTTTTCTGTATAAAACGACTACGCCGTTGTCCCTCATATTGTATTACATCCTCGGTGCTGGTATTTAAATTATACTCACGCTCACACACGGACTTCAACATATTTTTAACCATCTTCGGGCTTACATCGTGATGTACTTCGGTCCCCACAAGTGTCAGAACGCGGTTATGACTGTACTCTCTGATCTCTCTTTGGTTATGTTACGGTTATGTTACACCATGTATGTTGGGAAATTAGATGATCGTGGTGGTAACAGCGAGTAAAAATTCGAATCGTGTGGTATCCATCGTATTCCTGTTACCCTACAACGGGGGTTTTGTATATATATATATAAGACTAAACTCCTTTTTGTGAGATTCTAAGCAAATGAACCCGATGCGAGTTGTCGGATGTCTATGTATACGTCATGCATGTATACGAAAAAATAAAAAAATACTGTCGGGAAGTTGCACGTGTGAATAAACATAGGCGTCTAACGTTGAGAGAAGAATGTTCCGTGCTCTCGTAAGAATCGTGTTCTGATTCCAACAACTTGTTATCACGACGCGGGTTCTTGATATTAAAGGGATCTGCTCGTCGTATGGAGCCGAATAAATTCGATTTCGATTTCGATGCCGACGCGTCACGCGTATTGTACTGGACGCATAATAATGATTATTACGATTAATGTGTGTGAGAAAAAACATTGTGCACCGAAAACAGGAAGACATTAATATACGGCGAAGTGGTTCTATTTTATCCCTGCGAGTGGGTAAGCACTTTTATATACACCCGGTACATGAGCATCAGATTTAATACTATACATGCAATTCTGACACAAAAAATAATGATAATGATTGTAGCTGCTTTATGTATGTATTGGATCACCGAGTTTCCCGTTTTATTAACTAAAAATATTACCATGATAATACTCGAGCGCGGAACTAATGATGAATAGTCTTTACAACCAATAGAACATAGTAGTGGTAACGAAGAGCGAAAGAATCAGATAAACAGGACATGCTTGGCGCGTTGAAGGAAAACTATTAAATAAAATAACTTCATGGAAACCGGACAAAAAGAGACCCATGGATAGACTAAGGCTCGATGGCGTGATCGTGTACATGAAGACCGAAGTTCGACAGGAATAGAGAATCCAGAAGAGATGACAAAAATAGAGATCGATGGGAAGAATTGGTAATTTCGGCGAAGAGCCTTAATGGTCAATATTAAGCCAACAAAAAAAATAAAAATAAGTATTGGAATGCGTATAAATTAAATATATCACATAATGTAGATATAGAGATGCGATGCATATACAAATATGTGATTCTAATATATATATATATATACGTATAAATACATTTTCAGAATGGATCCAGTGGTAAATATATTATTCAAATGCCTAAGTCGCGGTAACGAACTATCGACCTGTAATGTTTAAATGTATGTTGAAAGAATTTCAAATATTTGTCACAAATCCGGTACTCAGTAGGAACGTCATATCCTTCTTTTAAAACAACGTCCTTTTCCTGATTATTAGTAGAACGATATTATTATGATTTCTGAAAACTATGGTATTTACGGCTTGTAACTTGACTATATTATATAATCAAGAAGTCGTAGAAACTTTTAAGATATAGTAAGATTCATAATTTATTACCAATAGAAACTAGGTACAATGAAAAGTGATTGGTACTATTATTATATTATTAGTAGGGACCGGAATTATATGCACTAAAAACGAACGAAATATGCGAAAATATGCAAACAAAAATGCATGTTTATTAATTATTAAATTTATTTAATTTTAAAATGTATACAATTCATTAAATAATTAATATTTAACAAAAAATATACTTTAAAATATATCAACTGTATTTTATATATTTTATTGAACTGTATGGAACTGTATGTTGTATTGAAATTAAATTGTATTTTGAACACTCACTTATCTACATAAAGCTCACAAACGAAAATCAATTTAAAAAAATCTAGTGGATTTTTATAATATTTTTTAAGTTACCTAGAGAGTTACTATTGTATTGGTACTTTTAGCGAACTTATCTTAACTATCTTATCTTATTATAACACAAAAATCAAATTATATAACTGCACGATTCACGGAATTTACGATGTGCTTAGTAATAAATAATAATAATAATAATAATAATAATAATAATAATAATAATATTCTTCGTAATATTTTTTTCTATATATGCATTATATTTCAGAAGAATGCTAAATAATTTGAAATGTTCCAAATATGCAAAAATATGCCAAATTAAATTTCGTATACTAACACATTAGATTAAGATTCAAATTTCTGTCTTACTTAGCTATTTTTTAGTTTAATATATAAAAATTTACAAATGCATACAATTCCGGGCCCTAATTATTAGCATAAAAGTTCAGTTAAAAACATTATTGGCTATTATAAAAATGTGAATGTGTACTGAATGTTAATATAATATGCTCTATTTGTAATAATACAAGCATTTAGTTTTGTTGGTGCTCTTCGGATTTTGTCTAATGATAAAACTATAATATACTATAATGCTAAGTTATGAAAAAACAAATCTGAATCGTTTTAATACAGCGGTTCCCAACCTTTTCGAGACTATTACCCGTAAACCGGGTAAGATATTAGGGTATTAGTAAATACCCCTACCTCCTTAAAATGCACGTGTGACAGGCCTAACGTAAAACTCGCATTATCGAGTTATCGGTAACCGCAACCTAATTAAACCGATTTATGGAACCGCAATGATGGATATATGTATTTTGTAAAGAAACATTAAACTTTTTATTATTTTTTGTTTGAACTATGTAAACATTAGTGGTTTCGCAGAAAATAATTAAGAGTACACTGTATAAATATAATTTGATGATAATAAAATAATAATAATACGAGTAAGTATAATAAGAGGTTGTATATAATAAAATAAATACATAATAAATACATAGAAAAAAAAATACTGTCCAGTCTTTACTTCTTGGCAGGTAGTTACCTCGAGGTTGAGAACCGCTGTTTTAATACCTATAAGTGATGGCCTTCGTAATCATTATTTGGGTATTGTACTATAATTACGGTTAGACCACATATTGTGTTACAATGTAACACTGTTACATAGCTTAGTCCGAAAATGTACTGCCCTTATCTCACGACAACAAATTCACCAATATATAATTTGACTAATTTGAAAACTAATTAATAATATACTATGTCATACAATGTCAAACTTGATATTATAGAGTGTGCCAAATAAATATTCTACTATAATGCAAATAATAATAATTAGCATACGTGATGAGTTTAAGTCTAGATATAAAATATTTTAATTTTGAAAGAGAACAGCGCAGAAAAATAAACCCATTAGAAGAATATCCGTGTATTTTTTCATTAAATATATGTTTTTTTAATTAAGCAAAATAAATTTGGAATAGAAAATTTAATTTTAAAAACTTTTATCGAGTTTTGTTTTCAAAAACGGAATATATAATGAAGGATGTTAAAATTGGTTAGGTTGGCAATATGAGAGGATATTGATGATCATGTAGAGTTTATTGTGAAATCCGTGGTAAATTTATATATAATATATATTATATTTACATATAATAAATAATTGTAAACGATTAAGAGATCAACTATTATTTGATTAATCTAGTCAAAATATTTAAACATTTTCCTCGGAATAATTTCTTTCTATTTGAAATTAGGTAGTTATACAAATAAAATATAAAATCCGGACCTAATATAAAAAAAATAGTAATAAAATCTTTTACTACTAAGATACTACCTTCACTAAACATATCGATATCAACAACAAATTACTTACGTATAAATGTATCCGTTTAATTTATAATAATTATCAACTAATAAATGTTCTATACTGAACAGATAAAAACGACATTACCTCTGTGGGAAGCGCATTCTAGCGGATGCAATTTATCCGAACCACATATTGTCGCTTCATCCGACAATGTTCGTTGTCCTCTCTCTAGAAGTAAAACAAATTAACGAAAAGCGCTCTGGGTGATAAATGTTGAACTTGATAGTGTTCATGGTCGCGTTGTAAAAAATGAATACAATGCTCTGATTGGTCTCCACTCAAATCAGTGTTACCACCAATACCAATGCCAATATCAATTATTGAATCTATACATACACCGTATTTTTGAAATATGAATAACTCAAGTAATTGAAAATAATCTAGTATTTTATCATGCTTAAAAATCTTTTATATTATTTAGATCAGTGATCATTTCGATTTCCAATACTCATATATATTTTGGAAAAGGAATTGAAAAGTAAAATATGTAAATTGTTTATTGCAACAAAACATTTCAATTTTTCACAATATAAAAAAAATATTCAAGGCCGTATTTAAGGGTTGGTTAATAAGTAGGCAATATCCTCTATTGAAATATTTAAGAGGG